TGACACAAGCCTTCTGAAGTTCTGGTTTATCGTCGACTCCCCACGTCAGCCGCAAAGCTGTGGCTTTAAAACTGAACACATCTGAGTCCTGATCCAATTTCAAGATTCATTTTTCACAGTATCACTCTCGCTTGAGTATCGGTCAGACATTAACCTGAGAGGCAGATGTTATCGCAACGCCATAGTAACACACACATGTTTTGATATCCGGGGTGTTTCCTTGGCCGGCTGTACAAAACAACCGCACTACTGAGTCCAGTGATGTTAACATTTTACAGGTTCACTCCGCATTCCAGCGGAGCAGGCTTTTTTGCTAGCTTGGATGGCATCCTAGGATGTAAGGTGAAAACTGCAACGCACTCCTTTTTGGGATAAATATCCGCCTTCAGCAGAAGCACCCCTTCGTTGGTTTTGTTTTTGTTTGCGACCATAACGTGTGTTTTTCAAAATCGTTTGTGAACCAGCGAAGTGTAGCTCCGACCCAACAGCCTCTGTTACTAGGAAGACTGCGCCCTCTCTTGGTCCAGCTAAGGGCTTATAGGGAATTGAGACTCCATGTTAGGGTTTGCCACTGTTGTATTGAGAACATGTTACAATCGGCGGAGATGCCACAAGGTGCACCATCAGCTGCAGTTAAAGTGACAAAAGGCCATAACCTTCGAGCATAGACTAGAACGAACACACGACAAACTGAAGCTTGGTCTTAGTCCACCAATCAGTTCTCAACACATAAACAGCCGCATGGTCGAAGAGTCGCCTGCCGCTGAAATAAAAAACAACGTTAAATTTTTACCCGTGGGTTGTTTCCAGCTAGAGATATTCCTCCTCAGTGGTTTTACCTACAAATGGCAAGCGACGCAGCTCAGCGAAGCGAGAAGTAAGACGAGACCCTTCCCCGTCCCCTCAGGCGAAAGTTGATATTATCATCAACCCTGAGTTGCCATCCAAAACTTGTCATCTTTCGATTATGTTTCTTCTTCTCCCCTGCACGTGGGACAACCCTAGCGATTCCGCACACGATTTCGACCAGCAGAGCTGGCGCCATGTCTTGTCTAGTTCCCCGAAGCACGAGGATAGTGTAACACTAGCTTTCATTTGCCATCACCAAGCCGGTGCACGTGCCTGCCGGCCTCTGTTTATTCCCCTGGGGTTTTTTGCGTTGTTTGCAGGAGACAGCATGGCGTGATAAGGAGTTTAGGTGATGGCTAAGATCTTCGCGCGATGCCAGTAGACTCGTACAATCACACGGAATGACTACTGCCGTCCGGGAGAATTTCCTGAATATTTGCTCGCCGAACCGCCCGTCGTGACTGTTTCCGCTACATTGTCTCGCAGCAATCCCACCTTACTTTTGTTAGAACCAGCCAGTCCAACCCTATTAGCCTTATACCAAATTTTCAAACGAAAATGTAGCCAATGCTCGGTTATGTTTTCCACTGGGTTTGTTTAGCAGTACGCGCAGAGCAGGCATGCGAGAGATTTTTCTGCGCAAGGGACAAAAGAATGTACGTCGATCTCGGCGTGGGAAGAAGTGCTGCCATGGCATGATGCTCAAATATTTGTCTACCTAGCGACACCCATAAACACATGCATTTACGGCCGGCGAACCGACTGGTTCTGTACGTAACTGGCAACTTGATTGAGTGTGACAGCAATGGGGCGACGTGAAAGAGGAAACAGTTCTGAAAAGGTTCTTCAGAACAAGTCGTTGTTGTTGACACGATCTGTCCGTTACTATGTACCGTCACATTGATCATGGCTAGCTGCAGACGGCTGGCCGTGCTGGCTTTCGGGAAGAGATTAGAGGCAGCGGTCGGAGCGAAGTGGGGGTTTTCTTTCGGTATCCGGGGCAATTTTCGCTGATAAGCGTTAGCAGCATCGAAGGTGAATCCAGCGAGAATGTCCGCAGACACGAACGAGAACATTACCCGCGCCTCAGTGCCCAGTGTATCACCAAGCAAAATCCCCGCGATGCATTGCATCCGACAGAACGCCTCACGAGACACGCGCCTCGTCGACAGCGGAGGGGAATTAGACAGCAAACATGAATGCTCTTCAGCGAACCGGGCTGTGAATTGACAAGAAAAACCTAACCTTGCCCTCTCTCTCT